AGTTAAAATATGAAGAAGATTGAAGTGTATAGACATTAAAAATAAATAAAAAAAACTTGAAATTTTTAATTTTCGATTCATCGTCAATTTCAATACTCTTGAATATAACTTATTAATATTGTCTTAAATGATCCGGTCTATATTCTAAATTTAACATCTCTAACCTAAAATATCATACACCTTTTTCATATGAATTATTTTACTACTAGAGATCAATTGAGTTACATAAATATCTATTTTTGTTTTAATATAGAAATTTCTTTTATTATGATAATTTTAATGTATCAAATTAGATATATTTCCAGAAATTTCTCTTCGTAGTTCGTTAAGTAATATTTTGTAATAACAAAATTATCACAGTCTTAATAAATCGTGGAACTTGTTTAATTTATCAAGAAACATAAAATACTCTAAATTTCTTTAAACAAAAATTTAATTCTATTCAATAATCTAGAAAAAAACACGTCTACCAGTATATTTTTAAATTTGTATCCTCGTTATCATTATGTAGATTTTTTCATGTAGATATTTTGTCAAAGAATCATCTTAACCCTCCATGATAAATTGTTGAAAAGTTGGGTACCCTCGTAAACTTGTAATAATTTTTGTCTTGCACATGCTCCCTCAAACAATTATTTTAGTCTCTTTGCAATAATTTGGAATTGTAATTGTTATATAATTAATATAAATAATCAGTAGTTAATTATCAAATAAATAACAAAAATACATGTTGTATATGATTTTTAAATATGAATCACAGAGTTACTATATCACACTCATCCTTCAATTTTCTTTAAACAACATAAGCATCTTCTAAAAATATTTTTCAAAAAAAAAAATTGACATTTTAAACAAAATAAAGCACGCACTAAATTTTATATTTGTAACATTCTAGATTTTTACAAATGTTACAGAAATCTTCCATGTTTTAAAAGATTATATCACCACGCTATATTATATCATATACACATTCTCTTGAATTTACTCAATATGATATTTAGCAATTGAGAAATAGTCGGATTGTGAACATAAGCATGTGAGCTAATTTTTTTTATACAGCCATATGTTTAAAAATTTTGATGGTTACAGTTTATTTTTGAGAGTAAATTGAATTTCAAGAATTGTAAAAATATGTTTGTTTAGAGGAATACTGGGTGGCAGAAACATACTAATAACTCACAATTGAAATTAAAAAATAAAAATAAAAGAAAATTACTGTAATACTGTTATAAGATAAAAAAGAAAAAGAAATCCTATGAGACTTGTGGTTTTATTTACATATTTATTTATTGTATGCAATGTTGATGCAGCTTACGCAAGCACCAATAATGGCAGGTGTTTCCAAACAAAATAGTAATAACTTTACTCTAAGGGAGAGAGGCCCACCACAAAAAAGAAAGGTGACGTGTCCATGCCCACACAGACGAGATAGAAGATAAGGACACAGCCACAACAATGTTTAACCAAACCATAATTCATTCTCTTTCTTCTTCTTCCATGGCCTCTTCTTCTTCAATGGCTTCTCTTCTTCCCATCATCATCATCTCCTTCCTCTTCCTCTTTTCACTCTCCAACGCTCACTCCCCAGTTTCCTTCACAATCCCTGTCACAAAAGACGCTGCTACCCACCAATACCTAACAACCCTCTCGTACGACACACCCCTTGTTCCCACCAAACTGGTCCTTGATTTGGGAGGTTCTTTCCTCTGGCTCCACTGTGCCTCCCGAAACACCCCTTCGTCTTCTTCCCTCACCACCCCTCACCGCTCCCTCCAATGCTTCGCAGCCAAAACCCACAAATCCCCCAACTCCTTTCTCTCCGGCCCCGTCGACCAGCACCACTACCAACCTTGCCAAGTCTTTCCGGAGAACAGCATCACCGGAACCATCGCCACCGAAGGAGAACTCGTGGAGGACCTCATCGCCCTTCAATCTGCGGAATCCAAAACCATCCACGAGCACCAGAGTCGCTTCACGTGTTCCCCTAACTCCCTCTTGCATGGCCTCGCCACGGGTGCCAGAGGCATGGTTGGCCTCGCTAGGTCCCGCAGTTCGCTTCCCTCCCAGGTTTTCGACAACTTCAGCACGCAGCGAAAACTCACTCTCTGCCTCTCCTCCTCCAAAGGTGTTCTTCTCTTGGGGAACGTCGCTTACGAATCCGAGATTCTCAAGTCTCTAACCTTCACACCCCTCGTCACCGGTTTCCCCTCCCTCGACTACTTCATCAACGTCAGCTCCGTCAAAATCAACGGGAAAAGGTTGTCCTTGGACGCCTCGGAGTTCAACGAGCAAGAGGGTGGTGGAGGAGGGGCTTTGACTCTTATAAGCTCAATTGTGCCCTACACCACCATGCAGAGTTCCATTTACAACTCTTTCAAGGAAGCTTTTTTGGACGCTGCCCTGTCCATGAACATGACCAGAGTGGCCTCCGTGGCACCCTTTGAGCTCTGTTTCGGTTCCTCGCAAGTGGGGTCTTCTGTGCCGGTCATTGAACTGGTTCTGCAGAGTGAGATGGTGAAGTGGAGCGTACATGGGAGGAACTCCATGGTGAGAGTGAGCGATGAGGTGTCGTGTTTAGGGTTCTTGGATGGAGGTGTGAACCCGAGAAATTCCATTGTGATCGGAGGGTATCAATTGGAAGACGTGATAGTGCAGTTTGACTTGGCCACTTCCATGGTGGGATTTAGTTCTTCACTTCTCACCAAAAATACCAAGTGTTCCGATTTTAAGTTCGGTAGTTCCATTCCTGCAGAATCCATCTGAAGATTGACCATCTTCTACATCTAGCTCTAGTAGTACTAAGGACTAAGTCCTTCTGTTTGATTTATGTTTCTGAACTGAAGCTTCTAAATTACCAAGTTTTCTTGTCCAATTAAGTTTCTGAAGCTTCTCAATTTTGTAAGAACTTGATTTTTGGATAGTTTTTTCCTTTTTCTTTGTTTATCCTGCACTATTGGTTGTATTATTTAAAAGATGGTGTTGAGAGATATTATGATCTTATGATTTGATGGCACTTTTGCGCCACTGTATTTTTGACATTGGAATGGGAATATTGGTTATTATCGTGTGCTTAAAGAATTTTGTTAAATTGCAAAATGGAGGAAAATATAGTGATTGGATTCGTATTCTACCCCTTTGATAAAAAGGGCATCTCTGATTATGGAATTTGGACACTTACGAAAGGATATCATGAATCCATTGTGTAGGGCAAAGAAAAGAAGATGTGGTTCACATAAATTCAATTCTTTTCTTTTCTTCTTTGTTACAAAAAGCATGAAGTTACACGATTGGCTGAGAAACAAAGTTGCAACAATGATGACGCATTGGGCCAGTGAAGTGGAAGAAATTATTAATATCATGAATGCTGCCACATTTCATATAATGGTTCTTTACCACCTTCCGTCCTCCAATCAATTCTCTCTGCAGTCACTTCTGCACAATCTGGATACTTTATTGTTACACTCATAGTTCTCTACTGAGGAACTAGTTTCTGCAGTTTAATAAAAAGAAAATACAAAAATTTCAGTTGATGAAAAATGAAGTGGAACTTTTACTAAACAAAATAAATGTTTAATTACACGAAGTCCTTTCAGAGAAAGTGTCTTAATTTGGCTTTATTTTTAATTGTTTTAATTTTGCTTCTAAATTCGTTAACATGCATCAATCAATTTTTTTTATACTGTTTAAATCGTTAATAGTAATTGTTTAGGCATGATTTCGTGATAATTTATGTACATGTAACATCAGGATTTTGTGATTTGAAAATTTGGACTGATAAGAAAATTAAAAACGGATTTAGAATAAGGGCTTTCTATGGGATTATGTGCAAAGTGAAAGTAAAAAATCAAGTTTTTATTAACAACGAAGTGCAAGTTTTTATTAACAACGAACTGAGTTGGATTGCTGGTGGAAGGTGCATATGTCTTCAATATATATTAATGTGTGTAGATTTTGAATTTTTGTCACTTTTATGCTATTCCCATGATTGTTGGGTTTAGGTTAGTATTTTTTTAATGTATTTTGTCTTTCAATGTTATGTTTTTTTTTTTGTAATTTTTATGTAATGTGATTCAGTCACTATTGTTTATAGAATTAGTTGACAATGGTGATCCACCGTTACGTGAGAGTGTTAAAGTTGTGGTCTCCATTTAAATCGATCTTTTGGTGTATTTATGGTATATGTTTTATATTCTTTGGACATTTTCATATTTTATATGGTTATATATATATATATATATATATAACTTGAGATATATATTTCGAAGTGATGTTTTATCATGGTGAAAATTTTATAAATAATGGATCACTCAAATATATGAAAAAAAAGTATTATTTTGTCATGTGATTCGGATAAATAGAACTACTTTGAGATTTTGTCAATTTTGAGAAGATGAATTATGTTAATGTTGAAGAGATGTAGTATTCAATAGGTTAAAGTTTTATGTTAAGGAAGATTGAAATGGTTGTATGATAACAAAGGTTTATGTGGTGAATATTGTCATACTCAATGGTCAAGTTTACTTATATATTGTATAACTTCAAATAATAAATATGTTCAAATATTTTTTCTCTAAGAGTGATAGCAATAAAAATAGTTGTACATATGATATTAGGGAAGATGATGAATGTGAACTTGAAGTTGATATGAAAGAGGAAGGGAGGAAGAAAATGAGAAAAAAGGTTAATTAAATCTAAAATAAAATTAAATTCACTTATACATTTTTTATTTATAAAATACATTAATTGGTCTAATTAATTAACATCCTAAAAATTTATATCAATATTAAATTGATATCAATAATGTAAATAGCATTATTCCAAGGACATTATGTATTTGGAGTATAACATTTTAAACAATTGTTGTTATGTGGAAACTTTAATATAACAAATTAATATTTTTAAAATTTGTAGGTCATATTATAATTAAAATTGTTCACAAGTAAACGTTTTGTAAATTGAAAGATAACCTTTAACTTCAAAGAATAATTGAGGTAACAGACAAAAACCACGAGCCTTTATTAGTATACAAAGATGTACAGTACGACGTAAAAGACAGACAATGAGTGATAGATAACTCCTGTGCTTTTAATGTTGTAGAACACGATTTAAACATGGGAGCACGTTACGTTTCGAAGTAAAAGAGAGGAGCTAAAGCTTAATCTTGACGAAGCCTCATCAATCACCAAAAGATTGTCCTCTAACTGATGCCCCTCAATAATAGATGTTTCAACAGAAGACAGTTTTGCTTTCATCCCTCCATTTACAAATGCAAGACACGCAACATTTTTGCCTGCCATCACCATGGAATTGGCTCCATGAATACTCCACTCCACTCCCCCAGCTAGCACCAGGTCAATGACTGGCACAACCAGACCAGTGACAGAATTCTCAATGGTGCTTGAATCGAAGCATGCATCAAACGGTGCCTCTGATGCCACTCTCTTCATTCTCCTTCCTGCTGCCTTCTTCACAAAATCTTGCACAAAAGGTTTGTAGAGAAAACTATGCAATTCAGTCCATGGAGTCACAGTGCTGATTTTCGTACCCCCATTTCCATTCTTGTCAATGGACAGCAGAGAAGGGTTTAAGTTGACAACATGGCCATCGATCTTTATTGATCTCACATCAATGAAGTATTCGATAGAGGGCGCACCTCTATAGACACAGCAGTAGTGGCAACGGGGTTGACAACAAGGGCGATGTTTTGGAGAAACTTGGATTCAAGTTGAGAATGGCCACCAGCAGCAGCTCCAATGAAGATCTTACCAAATCCTTTCAAGTTATTTGAAGGGAAGCAGAGAAAGAAGATGGGAGGAAGCTTATTAGCCAAAACAAGTTGTGATGGAAATGAAAGTTTTGACCGTGAAAAGCCTACGATCCCTATGGTTCTTTTGGGTAAACCTTGCAAAGCACGGTCAGAGATGTCAACATCCAGATCAACGCAGCCAGCAAGAAAGCCAGGTACGTATGTGGGAGGCAAGGATATCACGTCCTCGACCATTGAATTGCTGGTTCTGAATTGACCTAATGGGTTGCTCATTGTCATAACACAATCGTTGATTGCACAACCTGGTTTATAAGGGCCAATGCAGCCAGTGGCAATGCATGAAGCGTTTTAGGGGCATTTCTTTGACTCAGACAACTATACACTTGGAGGAAGAGTTGTAGCGTTTTGTGCTGCAGTCGTGCCAGAGGTTCTCTCCGCCAAGATCAATGGCGAGATCTGTGTTGTGTTGGGGAGTTCCTAGGCCAATTGTGGTGTAGAACACATTGGTTTCTGGGTCTTTCTTAATTGGCAAGACGAGGGGTTTTTGCTTTGGATGTCGATTCAAGTGGTAAGGGTAGACAGGAAACTGAGAGAAGGGTTACCGAGAGGAGGATGAAATGAATGACTGCAGGAGGAGAAGATGGAGCCACTGTGAGCATTAGCTAAAGGGATTGCTCTGCGCCGTTCAAAATGTGGACTAGGTTTTAATAGCAAAGCACTTCCAATGTGTAGGTATAATCTTAATGACCATACTTTTTTGTCAAAATGGGTAGATCTGCGAACTAAAGATCCCTGGATATGAAATTAAAATCCCAACAACCTACCCTGCCATGTCTCATCAAATATAAACGATCCCTCCCATTGGCTATGGCTGACATGCTATAAAGGGTGTTTCTTCCAGCGCCACATCAATTTTTTGAGTATTTTCGTTTATTTTGAAATGAACTTCTTCTACATTTGCGGGGTGTAGAAAGTTTAGGCTGTTATAAAAGAGACTACGCAGCACTGTCATTATTAACCCAGTTAAAGAACAGGGCCTTCGGGGACAGGCCATGACGATCCAAACCCTGGCCAGCGTCTACTGTTGGGAGCTATGATGATTTCGTTAAAAACCTCAACAATAGAGCAGAGCCAATATAGATCGTCAATAACGTGAGTAGAAAAACAAATAAAGAACTTGAGAGAAAACGTTCTACTCTAAGAAAAGCTGTAAAATGCAGAATGTAAGAGTGTCTAAATATGTAGTGTCACGTTTCTAATACCTCTATTACAGTCCTTATATAGCTAACTACCTAAGTAACTAATCAACTACCAAGATACTGTCTATAGCAGGTCAGCTTAGTGCCAAGAACAAGTTAGCTTCCCGTGCAATCAGTCCTCACAGTATGCTTCTGCTTCAGTTTTTCCAGGTAACAAGTCAGCCAGCTTCTTAAATTTGCCTCTTAGAGTTCTTTGACCGCTTGTCCAGGTAAGCTTGACAACTAAGCACAATACAAATAGACAGCTTTGACTTCAGTTATCCAGCGTGGCAGCAGGCTTGCAAGCCTTCACAGCAGCTGCACTTTCTCCAATTCTGCCAATCATCTCATCCAGCTCATACTGAAGCCAATTGCTCTCTCAAGTGCACTGCACAACTCAAAACAGCACCAAATCACTACCATGAACTTGCACATCAAAGTTTATTAACAAAATATTCTACATATTGTCTAGAATTAAAGCTACAAATAACAAGAATAAACTGAAAGTAACGTAAGCTCTACTACTACTTAAACTATACTGCTAAAATAGAATGAGGACTTTAAACTACTCTTAAAACAGAAAATGGATCCTAAAAACAGCTCTACAACTTTTAAAAACAGTAAGAGAAAACTAAAATCAAGGATAACTAAAGCAGCAGGTAATATAAAAACGCACATAAAAACTAGAATCAACAAAATATGATTAGTAAACTAAAAAGGAAAAACAACTATCTAAGCAAATTTGAAATGCTAAGAGAAATCTAAAAACAAATCCAAACACTAAAAACAGTAAAGAATACAACATTTCACTATGAGTTGCTCATTGTCATAACAAAATCGTTGATTGCACAACCTGGTTTATAAGTGTCAATGCAGCCAGTGGCAATGGATGAAGCGTTTTTGGGGCATTTCTTTGACTCACAAACAACTTTACGGTTGGAGGAAGAATTATAGCATTTTGTGCTGCAGTCGTGCCAGAGGTTCTCTCCTCCAAGATCAATGGCTAGATCCGTGTTGTTTTGGGGAGTTCCTAGGCCAATTGTGGTGTAGAACATATGGCTGACATGCTATAAAGGGTGTTTTTTCCAGCGCTCTATCAATTTTTTGAGTACTTTCAGTTATTTTGAAATGAACTTCTTTTAAATGTAAAAGATGCATTCCAAGATGAATGAATACATTTGCGGGATGTAGAAAGTTTAGCCTGCTATAAAAGAGTACACGGCACTATGTCATTACTAACCCAGTTAAAGTAGTGGCCTTCGGGGACAGGCCCTGACGATCTAAACCATGTTCGGCATTCTAAACGTTGATCTTTTCTTTGTAAACCATATTGTATAAAGAAACCGTTGGCTTTAGTCCTGAATTTATCATCTTTTCTAAGAGAAACTCTGCTTCCTTCCACTTTCCATCATTGCAAAGAAGCCCTATGGTTGAGCAAAAACTGGCCACATTAGGGACCATTCCATTGTGAACCATTTCATTGAGTAGCCTAAAAGCCCTGTAAGAGCTTCCTTCTTTGCAGTAACCATGAATCATCATGTTATATATAACATTGTTTGGTTCGAAATGCAGCTCCCCCAATGATTTGAATAGTTTTGAGGCTTCTTTCATGTTACCAGTTTTACATAACCCATGTATTAAGACACTGTATGTGTGTACGTCTGGAACCAAACCAGACTTCTCCATTAAAGCATGCATTTTGCGTGCTTTTTCCATATGATTTAGTCTTGCAAAAGCATCAATCAGAATGGTATATGTCACTTTGGAAGGAGCAAAACATCTCTCTTCCATTTCCTTGACCAAGCTAAGAGCTCCAGTTAAATTCTCAACCTTACAATACCCTGCAATCAGAGTATTATAGGTTACTAAAGTTGGTGAAAGTCCATTTGACTTCAATTGACTGAATAATCTAACAGCAGTGTCTATTTTTCCAACACCACAAAAACCGTTGATCAGTATATTGTATGTAACAATGTTAGGACTGAGGCCAACTTTGCTCAATCGATGAACTAACTTTATTGCTTCACCGAACTTCTTCCCTCGACACAGCCCACCTATTAAAATGTTATATGTCATAACCCCACACATAACACCTTTCTCACGCATTTCACCAAACACCTTAAAAGCTTTATCCACCATCCCACCATTACAATATTCTCCAATCACACAGCTGTAGGAATAAACATTTGGCACTATTCCACTTTGCTTCATATTCTCATACATTTGAAACCCTTCCCTTTGAAGTCCTTGTTTGAAAAACCCGTTCATTAAGACACTATAAGTATGTTGATTAGCAACTACACCCAACCTATCCATCTTGCAAAACAACTTCTTCGCCAGCATGACATCTCCATTCTTGCAGCACCCATCAATCAACGTAGTGTATATAACAACATTAGGAGACAAACCAAACTCCTCCAACATGGTCACAAGCCGAAACCCTTTCATTAAGTCACCAACCTCACAACAACCTTTGATCATAATCCCAAATGTGTAGGCATCCATAACAACTTTAATCTTGAATTGGTTAAAAACCCACCAAGCTTTATCGA